GAAAGTACCTCGGAGCCTCACAAGTAAGATGATGACAGGCAGATCTTCCATTGTCTGCCCTTTCAGGTTTTGGAAACTGATCCGTGAACTCAGGTCTTTGGGCAGAAGCAGTATCTCGAAATTACACAGCTTCCCAAACAAAAGACCTAAGCCAAGCTCCACAGAGGGCGGCAGGCCCTCCATCACACTGATCCACCCACAGAATTCTACACAGTTACCTTGGATCCACCAGCCACAACAAGCCTCGCGGTACACACCAACATTCAACCTGGAATCCAACCGGTTACTGCCATCCCCAATGGTTGCTGCATCTTGTCAATGTTGGGGGAGGGGCTGAATCAGACGAGAGTTTCCTAAATAAATGTGATTCTATCCACTAGCGTTCCACCGTCCCTTTTTCTTCCCTCTTTCCTTTTGTTCAGATCTGTGTGTACACAGTACAAACGGAGGGAAGTGTGTCCACTTAGAGTTTATGGTTTCACACGTCTTTAAACTTTCTAACAGTTCACAGTACACAGACACCCACTAAAGGAAACTTATGTTTCTATAATATCCATACACCCAGAATACATATCCGTTGGTTGATTTCTGCTGAAACACCTACACTCTCTTGACATGGATCCGTTTATTTCATGGGGGCAGAAATTCCTAGAAATGAAACCAATCCCAATGTGCACTTTACTGTCTGTCTCTTTTGCTCTTAGTACAGTTTTGCAGAGCTACTTGTATTTGTTATAGGCTTATGCCTTTTCTTCTTACGTAGGGTAGAATATGGCATTCATTCATCATGTTGGAAGACATGCAAGTCTATATCACGGACTATGAATCCATTTTCTTCAAAATCGGCATTTTGGTTAGGACACGATATGCTCTTATGAATCAGTATTTATGAATATTAATTCATGCATGTGTTTTCTGAATACAAGTGTGTTAGGTACATGCAACCCACAATACTGGGTAATTGTGTGCTCAAATATCCTTGACATCACCTTGAGTATTTTCTTTTGAATAACCATGGTTCCTTTGTTATATGTCAGCCAAACATACCCTTTTGGTGCTTGCTTGTTTGTTTGATTATGTGTTTGTTGGCTTCTTGTTTGTTTTGCAAACACATCAGGACATGCATCTATCCGTTTGCTTCAAACAGAGAGACACATAAGCTGATTCACTTAAGATAGTGTTTACAATAACCTATGATTTCCTGTTTCACTCTCCCGTCTTTAGGGTTTTGATGTCCTTCTTGCCTTCTTCTTGTTTATTCTTTGCAACTCATGCTCTTCTTGCATTTCCAATACTGATTTTCTTATTTCCTTTTCATCTTGCTGCTTTTCTATTCAGGGTAGAATTCTCAATCTTTCTTTTAGGATAAGTTTTGTACTGCTGAATTCTTTTAAGATTTGCTGGTCTGTGGAATTCTCTAGCTCTGCCGTTATTACAAACAGCACTCATTTGGCATAGGTTACCCTAGATGGCAGCTTTTTCCCATTCAGGTTATGGTCCCTGTCCTGGCACTCCTCCCTGTCCTGCAGTATTGTTGCCGATATATCAGCTGAAACCACCCTGGAGGTTCTCTTGTGACTATGTTGCTTTCCTCTCGGTGAATTTTAAATAACTGTGATGCTCATGAACTTAGATTATTTGAATCATACACCTGATGGTAGGTCTACTGTGATTTCATCTTCTTTGGACCCTGTGTACTTCCTGAATTCGTATGGATGATTCTTTCTTGGCTTTCAGCAAGTTTCAGTCTGATTTTTCTACAGATAACATTTCAGACTTTTTTTCATCTCTTGCTTTTCCATCTGGGAGTCTTATTAATCCTAGTCTTTCATGCCTTGTCTCACCCCAGGATTCAACAGCAATGTTTTCTTTGGTTTGCACTTGCTTTTCTATGTCTCCTTCTTACCGAGGTATTTCTGTTCCCCTGTCTTCGCAGTCATTCACGCGTCCTTCTGCATATTCTAGTCTGCTTAGGAATGAACTTTAGCCCTGATATTATCTCATCCATTGAGTTTTCTGGTATTATTTGGCTCGACTTTAGAGATTCTCTTCCACTTTTCTGGTACTGCTCCGTTTGTGATTCTGAGACACTGTTTTACTTCAGAGTTTTCCTCACCTCTGTTTTCAATACTTGCTCTGGTAGCGTTTTGCCGTCTAGTTGTTTGAAAGCTTATCTTTTGGGCCTTCAAACTGTTTGGAATTGAAATTTTTACTTCCTGTTTCTTTTACTTTACTTCTTCATCTCTACTGGTCAAGTAATTTCAGGTATGAAATGTAGAATTACAGTGCTTTGTTAAGTGAAAACATTAGACTCTTGGGTCTACACAATTCCATGGGATTTCTGTGAGGACAATTATTCCTAGACATTGATGCCATGTCCTTTTCCTGTGTGTGTTGTCTTGTATATCGCCAATTACTGGTGGTGACTTTGTTGTGATGAACACACCATACGATATCGATTAGTATAACCTCATTTTTATTATGCTCTCACAATTCTGAAAGTGCACATGACATTTCACTTGTGGAAATGAAGCTTCTAAAGGTTCGCTTTGCATTCTGTTGTATGTCATTTTGGAGTGTTTCCAAAACAGCAAACCGATAGTGCGCTTGTGCTTTCTAGTGCCATGGGATTGTCCCAATGAAACAAGTTCTTCCCAGAGATTCTTTGTCTACAGAGACACAAGTGGAAACATATCTATGCATGTCATAAACCAGGGCCTGCTGGAATGATCCCACAGACCAACCTCGTTGTCCTCAGTTCAGTACAATATCAGTGCCATCCAAAATGTAACATCTGCTGTAGGGAGATAATGCTGAAGGAAATGCTTCACCTTCTCAGCTGTGGACTTTGACCACTCTTCCTTGTTCTCTCATCCTTGTGGCATTTGTGCACGAAGGCAAGAACAGAGCTGTTCCACATCCTGTGCATCAAACCAAACCATAATCCTAGCCCAGGTTATTAATGTAGCAGATCCTAAAACTTTTATTACTGATTTCAAACCCAAGGCCCCCTGGATACCTCAGACCAGCTGCACAATATCTCTGGTTGAGCCCCATACATGCTCTATTGGCAAAATGCAAAATTGATCCCTGGTCCTGCAGATGCACTGGGTGAGGCCATGGGACATATCGATAATCTCAACCACACGCGCCAGTGTGGTTGCTTTCTCATTGGTGTCACATGTCGGTTTGCTCACTTGATAGGACACACCACATCCCACAACGCACTCCAGATCCCTGAGACTCAGCGTGTGCCATTTTCCGTAGCCCTATCACTCATTTACCACTGCCTCAGCTACCTCAAATTTGTCAGATGGGATCTTGTTCTCAGAATCAATTGTGGGGATATTTTGTGCTGATTTCTTTGAGTTCTGTCAGTCAAGCATCTGCTGTGCACTCTTCTAACACTCAGCGCATCACCTTCAATCCCATGTCTCCTGTCCGCTTGAGAGTGTGCATCCAAGTAAAACAGACTTTCACCTTTGCTGCTCCATCACCAGGGGTCAGATCCTGCACTGGTTTCCATTCTCTAATTTGCCTACACCTGCTTTCACGTTTCCTGGGGCCTCATCATCTCTTTGTACGTAACAGACCCCTCTTCGGCAATGTCCTGTGCCAAGGTCTGGGTGAGTGGATGTTTTCATTGCTGTGTACATGGGAGCGACTGAGCACAAGTTGCCCTGCTGCTCTGCCAACTAGTCATCGATTAATCAACAATTTCCAGATATATTTCTCAGAAATGTGATTATTGTTTATCTCTATTTTCTATACAGCCATGGTGGAAGGGTTTGTCCAAAGACTCCAGTTTTGACATTGTGTTGATAAATCATTTGCAGGCTATAAAAATTTTAAAGGAATTGATTCACAAGTTTTGGGATTTATACAAAAATTAAGTTAGTTGTTGAAACATACAAAATTGACGTAAACCCAGACTTGTCAATTGTGTTAATATTTATCTGCTCTTAGAATAAAATAGACAATTTTAATGTAAAGTAGCAGTCCAAAATGATAAAGGGGACATGTCAGCTCTTTACTGTTGAAGCCTCCAAAGCCAACAGGAAAAATGAAATACCTTTTGGAAGCATAAAATTATCCACAGCCTTGGTTTTACTTGTGCATGTGGTGCCCTATACTGCCAGTGACACATACTGGCCAATGTTGGCATTTCACGGGGTAACATCACTCTGCAGGTATATATAAAAAAAAAAACAAACAAAATATATTCCTTTAGGCTTGATTCCAAAAGCACCTAGAGGCAATAAATCTATGAGAAACCTGCTGCAGATATGCTAGTCTATTGAGAACCATGTGTTCTTCTATCAATGATGAGAACGCTTAATCATCCGATCATTCACTGTAAGGCAATATTACACAACCAAGTCTTCACCCCCATGATATAGTGCACCCGAGGCTTGACTGAAGTGAAAGACTGTCCACATAAGCTGTGTCTTAAATGTCATTGGCGAATTTTACTATTCAGTTCACTATCTGACTTACAATATTTCCCTATACTGTCTAGAAAATCTGAGGCATATTACATATTCAAGTTTAGTCATAGATTCCCCTCACATACCACACTGCCGTCACACAAAAGAAGACATAAACCCAGCATTTGCTGAATCTAGCGGAAGGTCATCATTTATTTGTGTGAGCTAAGTATTCAATCCAAATTTATTGTAGTCAAGGCTCTTTGATCATTAAGGGGTTCACTGTTGTTCACAGAGTAAGAAGCTGGAGGAACTCTGATTCTAGGAGGGGCTTGCTTTTCTCATACTGGATTCATTGCAGCTGAGGTACTGATCCTTCATAATGCATGCCTAAGTGGAGGGGAGGGAAGAGCAAGTGCTGGATAGCTAGGAGCAAACCTGGGAAAAGCTTACCTGGTGTTGGTGCATTTTGGCCTGATTGGTTTGGAAATGCCCCTTGGGACGTGTGGATTCTCACGACCTCAACCAAGAACATGTGCATTTTTATCAACTCTACCATCTCTTCTCTTTTAGACGTTAGGAATCTTGGACCCGTTCATGGAGCAGAGAATTGAGTAATTTCCTTAAGTCCACGTTGACACTCCGAATGTTTCTGCCAGTATCAGTGAGGTTCAATAAATCTCATGAATGCCTTTAGAGCCTGATATCCTCTACAGATGTCTCCATGCCAGTATTCTCCACTGTAGAACAGCAACTCTGATCAATGTGTTCACATCTATCCTCAATCCATGCAGGCAGCTTTTCTGCCAGCTTCTCTTTTTGTCTCCGATAAAGTCGACTTTAAGAGGACAGGGAAAGTATGAAAGTACCTCGGAGCCTCACCAATAAGCTGATGACAGGCAGATCTTCCACGGTCTGCCCTTTCAGGTTCTGGAAACTGACCCGTGAAATCAGGTATTTGGAAAGGAGCAGTATCTCGAACATACACAGCTTCCTGAAACAAAGAAATAAGCCAAGCTCCACAGAGGGCGGCAGCCCTTCCATCACACTGATCCACCCACAGAACTCTGCCCAGTTACCTAGGATCCATCAGCCACAACAAGCATCGCGGTACACACCAACATTCCACCTGGAATCCGACCGTTAACTGCCATCCACAATGGTTGCTGCATCTTGTCAGTGTTGGGGGAGGGGCTGCATCAGACGAGATGTTCCTAAGGTAAATATGATTCTATCCACTAGGTCCCATGGGCCTTTTTCCTTCCGTCTTTCCTTTTACTCAGATCTGTATGCACAGTACAAACGGAGGGAAGTGTGTCAATTTTTAGTATATGGTTTCACAAGTCTTTTTAAACTTTCTAAAAGTTCACAGTACACAGACACCCACTAAAGGATACTAATGTTTCTGTAATATCCATACACCCAGAACACATATCCATCGTTTGATTTCTGCTGAAACACCCACAGTCTCAGCACAAGGATCCATTTATTTCATGGGGCTGAAATTCCTAGAAATGAAACCAATCCCAACGTGCACAGTACTGTCTGTCTCTTTTGCTCTTAGTACACTTTTGCAGAGCCACTTGTCTTTGTTATAGGCTTATGCCATTTCTTCTGTACGTAGTGTTGAATATGGCATTTTTTCATTCTTTTGGAATAATTGCAAGTCTATATCACGGACTATGAATCCATTTTATTCAAAATCGGCATTTGGGTTATGTCACCATATGCACTTAAGGATCAATATATATGAGTATTAATGGACGCATCTCTTTCCTGAATACAAGTGTGTTGAGTATATGCAAGCCGCGATACTGGTTCGATGCGTGCTGAATGATCCTTGACATCACCTTGAGTATTTTCTTTTGATAATCATGGTACCTTTGGTATATGTCAGCCAAACATACCTTTTTAGTGCTTGTTTTTTTGTTTGATTGTTTGTCTGTTTTCTTCTCGTTTGTTTTGCAAACACATCAGGCCATGCATCTCTCCATTCGCTTCAAACAGAGAGTCATATAAGCTGATTCACTTAAGATAGTGCTTACAATCACCTATGATTTTCTGCTCCCCACTCCCATCTTTAGGGTTTTGATGTCCTCCTTGCTTTCTTCTTGTTTATTCTCTGCAACTCATGCTCTTCTTGCATTTCCAATAATGCTTTTCTTATTTCCATTTCATCTTGCTGCTTTTCTATTCAGGGTAGAATTCTCCATCTTTCTTTTAGGTTAAGTTTCATACTGCTGAATTCTTTTAAGATTTGCCGGTCTGTGGAATTCTCTAGATCTGCAGTTATTAGAAATGGCGGTCATGTGGCATAGGCTTCCATAGAGGGCAGCTTCTTCCCATTCCGGATATGGTGTATGTCCTGGCATTCCTCCCTGTCCTGCAATATTGCTGCCGATGTATCAGCTGGAACCCCCCGGAGGTTCTCTTGTGATTATGTTGCTTTCTTCCAAGTGCATTTTAAATCACTGGCAAGCTCATGAACTTTGTTGATTTGAATCATACTGCTGCTGGTAGGTCTATTGGGATTCCAACTCCTTTGAACACTGTGTACAACCTGAATTCGTATTTGATACTTTCTTGGATTTCAGCAATATTCAGTCTGATATTTCTACAGATAAATTTTCTGAATTTTTTATATTTATCTCTTGCTTTTCCATCTGGGACTCTTAAGAATCTTAGTCTTTCATGCCTTTTCTTTCCCCAGGATTGAACAGCAAAGTTTTCATTGGTTTGCACTTGCTTTTCTATGTCTGCTTCAGATCGAGGGATTTTGCTTCCCCTCTCTTAACAGTCATTCACAAGTCCCTCTGCATACCATAGTCTGCTTAGGACTGAACTTCAGCCCTGTTATTATCTCATCCATTGAATTTTCTGATATTATTGGGCTCGTGTTTAGAGTTTGTCTTCCCCTTTTCTGGTATTCTGCCTTTGGTGATTCTGAGGCACTGTTGTTCTTCAGTATTTCTGTCACCTCCGTTTTCAGTGCTTGCTCTGATAGCGTTTTGCAGACTAGTTGTTTGAAAGTTTATGTTTGGGCCTTCAATCTCTTTGGAACTGAAAATGGTACTTCCTCTTTCTTTTACTGTATTTCTACATCTCTACTGGTCAAATAATATCAGGTATCTAATGTAGACTTATAGGGCTTTTTTAAGTGAAAATTTTACACTCTTGGTTCTACGTAATTCCATGGTATTTCTGTGAGGACAATTTTTCCTAGACATTGATGCCATGTCCTTTTCCTGTGTGTGTTGTCTGGTATATCTCCAATTGATGGTGTTGTCTTTGTAGTGATGAACACACCATACAATTTCGAATAATATAACCTCATTTTTATTACGCTTATCTCACACTTCTGGAAGTGCACAGGACTACTCCTCTTGTGGAAATGAAGCTTCTAATGGTTCTCAGCTCTGCATTCTGCTCTATGTCATTTTGGAGTGTTTCCAAAACAGCAAACCAATAGTGCACTTGTGCTTTCTAGTGCCATGGGAATGTCCCAATGAAACCAGTTCTTCCCAGAGATTCTGTTTACCGTAAGACCAATGGAAACATATATATGGATGTCATACATCAGGGCCTGCTGGAATGCTCCTGCAGACCAACCGTGTTTTCCTCGGTGCAGTATCATGTCAGTCCCATCCAAAATGTAGCATCTACTTTTGGCAGATTATGCTGAAGGAAATGCTATAACTTCTCACTCTGTGGACTTTGACTACTCTTCCTTGTTCTCTCATCCTTGTGGCATGGGTAGACGAAGACAACCACAGAGCTGTTCCGCATCCTGTGTCTCAAACCAAACCATAATCCCAGCCCAGGCTATGAATGTAGCAGATCCTAAAGCTTTTAATACTGATTTCAATCCCAAGGCCCCCTGGATCCCTTAGACCAGTTGCACGTTATCACTGACTGAACCCCACATGTGCTCTATTGGCAAAATTCCAAATTGGTTCCTGGTCATGCAGATGCACTGGGTGTGGCCATGGAACATATTGAAAAACTCAACCACGTGCGCCAGTGTGGTTGCTTTCTCATTGGGGTCACAGGTCGGTTTGCTCCCTTGATAGGGCCCACCACATCCCACAACGCTCTCCAGATCCCTGAGACTCAGCGTATGCCATCATCCATAGCCCTATCCCTCATTTACTGCTGCCTTTGCTACCTCAAATTTGGCAGCTCGTATCTTGGTCTCAGAATCGATTTGGGGATATTTTGTGCTGATTTCTTTTGAATTCTGTCAGCTAAGCATCTGTTGTGCACTCTTCTGACACTCAGCACATCACCATCAATCCCATGTCTCGTGACGGCTTGAGAGTGTGCGTTCAAGTAAAACAGAGTTTCATCTTTGCTGCTCCATCTCCAGGGGTCAGATAATGCACTGGTTACCATTCTCTACTTTGCCTTCTTTTGTTTCCAGGTTTTCTGAGGCCTCATTCTGTCTTTGGAAGTAACGAACCACACTTCAGCAAGTGTCCTGTGCCAAGGGCTGGGTGAGTGGTTGTTTACATTGCTTGTTCATGGGAGCAATTGAGTGCACGTTGCACTGTTTCTCTGCCAGCTAGGCATCAATCAATCAACACTTTCCGGATATATATCACAGAAATGTGATTTTTGTTTAGCTCTTTTTCTATACAGCCGTGGTGGTAGTGTTTGTCCAAAGACTCCTGTTTTGACATTGTTTTGATAAGTCATTTGCAGCTTTAAAAAGTTTAATAGAATTCATTTACATGTTTTTGGATTTATACGAAAATGAAGTTAGTTTTTGAAACATACTATATCGACCTAGAAGCCAGAACTGTCAGTTTTGTTAATAATTTGTCAGCTCTAAGGAAAAATTAGACAGACAGAAAGTAAAATAGCAGTCCATAATGTTAAAGGGGCATGTCAACTCTTTACTGTTGAAGCCTCCAAAGCCAACAGGAACCATGAAATACCTATTGGAACCATGAAATTACCCCCAACCTTGGTTACACTTGTGCATGTGGTGCCCTTTACTCCAATGACACATACTGGCCATTGTTGGCATTTAAAGGGTTAACAACACTCTCTAGGAAATTACAAGAATTAACAAACAAAATATATACATTTATGCTTGATTCCAAAAGCACCTAGAGGCATTATAGCTATGAGAATCCTGCTGCAGCTATGCTAGTCTATTGAGAACCAGGTGTTCTTCTATCAGTGATGAGAATGCTTAATCATCCGATCATGTTGGGTATAGCAGTTTAACACAACCAAGTCTGCACCCCCATGATACAGTGCACGCTGGGCTTGACTGAAGTGAAAGACGGTCCACCTAAGCTGTGTCTTTAATGTCATTGGTGAATTTTACAATTCAGTTCAATATCTGACTTATAATATTTACCTATACTGTCTTTAAAAACTGAGGCCTAGTACATATTCAAGTTCAGTCAAAGATTCCCCTCACTTACCACACTCCTCACACCCCATAGAAGACATAAACCCAGCATTTGCTGAATCGAGGGGAAGGTCACCATTTCTTTGTGTGAGCTAAGTATTCAATTCCTACCTATTTTAGTCGAGACTATTTGACCTTTAAGGGGTTCACTGTTGTTCACACAGTGTGAAGTTGGAGGAACTCAGATTCTAGGAGGGGCCTGCTCTTCTCGTACTGGGTTCATTGCAGCTCAGGTACTGATCCTTCAAAA